CTGGGGACAGTGTCCCCCCCCCTGGACAGTGCCACCCCCCCTTGGGGACAGCGCCACCTCCTCGGGGACACTGTCACCCCCCCCCTCCCCGTCCCCGGTGTCACCCCGGTGCCATCGCTCCTGTCCCCCTGTCCCTGTCACCTTCGCCACCGGTGCCACCATCGGTGTCACGGCGATGTCCCTGTGATGTCCCCACGGGTGCCACCATCGGTGTGTCCTCAGTGTCACATCCCTGTCACAGCGGTGCCACCATCGGTGTCACATCCCTGTCACTCTGATGTCCCCCAGGTGCCACCATCGGTGTCACAGCGGTGTCGCCATCCCTGTCACATCCCTGTCACTGCCATGTCCCCACCACTGCCACCATCGGTGCCACATCAGTGTGACATCCCTGTCACTCAGGTGTCCCTGCGATGTCCCCACAGGTGCCACCATCCCTGTCACATCGGTGTCACATCGGTGTCACCATCAGTGCCACCATCCCTGTCACATCCCTGTCACATCCCTGTCACATCGGTGTCACCATCCCTGTTACTCTGATGTCCCCCCAGGTGCCACCATCGGTGTCACATCCCTGTCACATCGGTGTCACCATCCCTGTCATGTCAGTGTCACATCCCTGTCACTCTGATGTCCCCCCAGGTGCCACCATCGGTGTCACATCCCTGTCACATCAGTGTCACCATCGGTGTCACCATCCCTGTCCCAGCGATGTCCCCCAGGTGCCACCATCGGTGCCACCATTGGTGTCACATCAGTGTCCCTGTGATGTCCCCACAGGTGCCACCATCCCTGTCATGTCAGTGTCACATCGGTGCCACCATCGGTGCCACCATCGGTGTCCCTGTGATGTCCCCACAGGTGTCACCATCCCTGTCACATCGGTGTCACCATCCCTGTCACATCCCTGTCACATCCCTGTCATATCCCTGTCACATCGGTGTCACATCAGTGTCCCTGTGATGTCCCCCCAGGTGTCACCATCCCTGTCACATCGGTGTCACCATCCCTGTCACATCCCTGTCACATCCCTGTCATATCCCTGTCACATCGGTGTCACATCAGTGTCCCTGTGATGTCCCCCCAGGTGTCACCATCCCTGTCACATCGGTGTCACCATCCCTGTCACATCCCTGTCACATCCCTGTCACATCGGTGTCCCTGTGGTGTCCCCCCAGGTGTCACCATCCCTGTCACATCGGTGTCACATCGGTGTCACATCGGTGTCCCTGTGATGTCCCCACAGGTGTCACATCCCTGTCACATCAGTGTCACATCGGTGTCACATCGGTGTCCCTGTGATGTCCCCCCAGGTGTCACATCCCTGTCACATCCCTGTCACATCCCTGTCACATCGGTGTCACCATCCCTGTCCCCGCGATGTCCCCGCCGGTGCCACGCCCCGCTCACATCGGCGCCACCTCAAGGCCGCCACCGCGGCGCCAGCGCTGTCCCCGTGTCCCCGTGTCCGTCTGTCCCCGTGTCCGTGTGTCCGTGTGTCCGTGTGTCCGTCTGTCCCTGTGTCCGTCTGTCCCCGTGTCCCCGTGTCCGTGTGTCCGTCTGTCCCCGTGTCCATCTGTCCGTCTGTCCCCGTGTCCATCTGTCCCTGTGTCCCTGTGTC